AATAAATCTGTGTCGAATCGAGCGGTGTCGAATCGTACTGTGGTCAAACGGAACACGCCCGCATCTATCCACCTCTCCTACCCGTGTCCCCGCCTCCGAGTTTTAATACGAGGGGGAAGGCGGACCCCTGGTTACTGAGGAAACGCTGCTGAAAGGCCCTCCGAGAACCGGTAGGATCCCGCAACAACGTCCCCCCGTCTTCCGCGTTTAAGTCTATATCCCTCCCAAGTTCTAATCGCGTCGCGACCTACCTGTTTCCCCGGGGCCTCCTATTTCTTTTAGCATGGGGGAGATCGATCCCTGTGCCCATCCCAACCGCAACCTTCGAGTTTTCCAGAGAAAGGTTCGATTCCTGTTGGGAGATGTGTGGCATCCGGACTTGCCCGCATGTTCTGGTGGCAAGTCCGGCGCCTAAGCTTCTTGCATCCATCTCCCCCTGCCCGTGTCCCTGCTTCCGAGTTTTTAGCTAGGGGGAAAGCAGACCCCTGCTGGCCGATGTGACACCGGGACTCAATGAATGAGAGCGATGTCGATCCATTGCCACCTACCCGTTCTATGCCTTCGAGTTTTTCACTAGGGGAAGGCAAGTCCCTGTTGGCCGGTGTGCGGCATCAGAGCTCCCGACGAGTGAGAACTTCCGCGTATCTACCGCTCCTACCCGTGTCCCTGTCTCAGAGTTTTTATATGAGGGAGAAGACAGACCCCTGTTGGTGGGATGCATAAACATTCGAACTCTGGATCACGTCAGCGGATCCGGAGTCCATCCGCCATGCATTCCCCGCCTGCCCGTCCTACCATGATCGCCGTATGGAGACGTTGGTCCTTCCGCATGCGCACACCGATATGCACGGATGGATTGGCCCGATAGCGTCTCTTTCCTCAAGGAACGGTATCCCCTGGGTAACACAACCTAGTGCAGGTAGACGGTAGGTATCCCTGCACTCCTACCCGGGCCTCTCATTGTGGAGGCAAAGCTATCTAGAGGGGGAGATGACCGTCCCAGGGGGCTCTGCCCGTTCTTTACCCAGAAGGTCATTCCGCCCTTGCCCCTCCGATGGGGCGTAGCTGGTCCTCCAGACTTAAGGATCCCGGAGCTACTCACTGACAGATCCCTTTTCCTCCAACCAGCTCTTCGAGGAGGATCCCGCCACTCCTAGGTGGGCAAGCTAGTCTCGCCCCGCGTGGTCTTTTCAAGGAGAAAGAACGACTCCCGCCCGGCCGCACTCCGGCTTTAGAGTATCTCTACCTCCGGTCTACTAGCCGCCGTTCTCCTGACGGTCTTTAAACCGTGACCTTTGTGCCCGTAGCAGAAATCGGGTCTCCCATCCAAAGCCCAGAATTGCCCAACGAACGATTCGGACACTCCTGCCCGAAACCAGAGCCCCGTTGGCCACCGGAAGGGTACTCCGGTGTTACCAGCTCTCACCACGTGGAGGTGGGGATGGCTGATGAACCCGGTGGTTCTTTGAGAGCCGCCTGCTCGTTTTTAAATTAACCTAACTATTGGGTTAGCCTACTTGTGGTTTAGCAGGGTTAGTTTTTAGGGATTTATTTGACCTTTGAAAGTCACGTTAATGTTGAACTGAGATACGTATTTGAACGTAAAATTTTCCGCTCTTTTTGAATCCGGTTTTAACAATATGGGTTCCCATAAGAAAAAAACGTTATGACCTTAAAATGACTTTGACATTTATTGTCAAGGTCACATCTGATTGCACAGATAGTTGGCCCCTATTATTCCACGCAACTGTTGTCTGAACCATTTTTCTAGAGCATGCATAAAAATCGAGATACATGGCTGGTGAGATTAAAATGGCCCACCGTGTATATATGCGTTTAAGTCTTCAGTATGCGTTCCAGAAGCATTGT